AATAGTATAAAAGTCAATACAGCACAAAATATCCAACAATTTTTTTTAATCAGTATTTTAAAAAAGTTGTATATTACTAAAAAAAAATAATACGAAGTTATGAAATGTTTTATTATTTCTAATTGCTAATAGTAGTAAAAAAATTGTTGGATATTTTGTGCTGCATTGACTTTTATACTGTTATGACTTCCTCCAACAGATATTTTGAAGGCGTTCAGAGCCGTACTCAGGAAAAATATTAAATGATAGCTAAAACAAGCTAAAAACCTTTTTAAGCGATTACAATAGTAATATCGTCTAATTCAGAATTAAAAATAACTTTAAATTTTGCCATAAAAATAGCAGCAACGTATTTAAAAAAATTAACCTGATGATGGCCCCTCGAAGACGAAACGTCGAATTGCAAAAATGTTGACGCCATGGGATAGAGCGAAAAAAGTGACATTGTAAATATGCAATTTATTTTAAAATTCGTTTTCAAAGAGCTAGAAAAAAAAACAATTTTGCAAAATATCAGGTTTTTCCGGATATCTTTGGAACTGCATGGAATTTTATAACTTTCTAAACGGCATATTCTTAGGTATAAAAAAACATAACTTTTTTTTAATTTGAGTCACTTCGTATCTTTTACCGTTTCCTAGATCCTAATTCTATCCCATCCATATCTTGGACACACTGTACAGTTCATGGAAACTGTACACATTTAATACATTGAAATAACACATGCAATTAGAAAATAAATATATGAAAAGGTTTATTTCATATAAAAAATTGAAATTAAAAATTTGACAGATATTGTCAAAAACACAAAAACACAAAATTTCCAACTTGTTGTTAGATTTAAACACAATTTTAATATAAAGATAACATTTTCCAGTATACCTAGCTGTCAGAATTAAAACGAAACTAAATCCCGGTAACCACTAACACGCCAAACAAAGTTGGCAGTCATAACAAATTCCGACAAAAGCTATAACGTAAGGAGCAGCACAAACAAGTGGAAAGAGAATCAAAGTAAATTATATATCAGGAAGGAGAGACACCAATGACAGAAAGTATAAAAAGTGTAAAGTGTAAAAAAATATAATGATTTCCAAATTTTCCTTTTTCCATAAAATAAATATAAATTTGTATACCTAGTTAGTATAGTTTAAAAAGTGGTTAATAAAAATAAAGAGAAATAACAATAATAAATACTGTTGAATAAAAAGGAATCGATCCAATAAAAAACTTAGTGAAAACTAAATTTAACCAAACCAATAGTTTATCTGTGGGATTGGGATTAGAACTCGCTTCTAAAACTTATATAATTTTGGCGCCCAACGTGGGGCCAATGAAAATTAAAAAACATAATTGAAAATAGAAATAAATCCGTAATCGTTATAACACACCTTTCCAACTCCGTACATCTTATTTTTTTAAATCTTTGTTATTTCTTACTTCTTGCTAATGTTTTTATTATTATTAATTAGATTTTCATCCGAAAAGAGTCGAATCTCAGACGGCAAATATAAATAATTCGAAATATCTAACACCCATCACGTCAAGTCGAGAGGCAGCACCGGCGCCTGCAAATTTCAGGAATTCCACTTAATTATTGGATCAATCCGGAAGAATTTCTTAATTATCAACTTCCTTTCAGCGATTCTGGCTCGCACCATTTCAGCGCTGTCATTATTTCACTTTTCTATTGTTGAATACAAACCGTCAGCACCGAGTGTCTCGCGGTACAGACTGCGACTACGACTATGCATCACTCATTTACCGCAAGCGACAGCTTTCATTTTCAATACCCCCGTTTCCGTCGCAATTCCACTTAAAAATCCGCTTTTCACACTTTCCCACATCCCTTATATCGGATTACCGTGCAAATACGACCGAGGGTTTTTAAAACGATATGATTTTAATCGGTCTACAAGGGTGTGGAAATGAAATGTGGTACTCATAAACGAACTGTTTTTATTTTAACGGTATCCTTGTGTTGACGTGTTCTATCTACACATACCTTGTGCTTCTATCTACAGGGGTTCCAATAAATAATGATATTTTTTATTCTTTATATTGAAAATCAAATAAAAACCAAAGTATACGAATTTAACAACATTCAAAATCTAAATGAATGAATAATAATCCGGGCATGAACAGAAATGACTTCAAAGAATTTATAGATTTTTTACTAGAATTTGACTCCAGAATTTCATAGTTTTCATTCTTACCATACTTTCAAATAGCTAGTTTTCTTTATTTTCTATTCTATTATATTATTTAATCAAGATCTGAGTGATTTATCCAAAACTTTAGAGTCAGTGGCTACTGACATACGTGTACATCTTCATAAACTCGAGTTTTATGGAATGAGATACAATGTATTAAATTTATTTGCATCCCGCGTAGTATAGCGTAAGGTATGTCGCAATGTCATTAATAAAGATGGCAAATAGAAGAGTTCACGTACAGACCGTTGAGGAACACCTGAAGTTTGGAAAAAAAATACTCACTTGAAATCATGATATTGGATATACTGAGACAGAGTATAGTCAGAGTATAGTCTTTTCGAAGTCAGTTAAACATGTATAAAAATACCTAACAATAAAACTTAATGAGCTTCATAGGCGTCCCTAAAAATTTTTTCTGCTAAAGGTAAAAAATTATGATAATTTGTTTATAATGTGAGGAAATTTCTATACTATTTCATTATCTGATTTTTCATTTTCTTCCTTTTTTAAACAATCGTAAATGTTTAAAATAAGACGCTGATATTGAACATGTAAAACTTTATTTTTAAATTCTAAATCAGCAACAACCGGTTCTACTAATTCAATATTGTCTGGGGGTATTTCGTTTTGTTCCGTTTCAAAAGGTCTCCAAAATGCCTTGTTGTAATAATATTAGTAAACAAAATATCCCTCTTATTTCTTCCTATCGCAATTGTAATATGAATGATTAATAGAAGGTCCCATCAAATTCCGTATTGCTGCACTGCACTGCTATGCAATTTGTTAACTACTGAAATTTATGGCCGGTCGCCCAGTGCGGCTGTCTTTGTGCGCCGATCGCTCGCTCGCGCATTCTTCAACTGTTTTTCAAATATTTCAATGTCGAGTTGCTGTGTAGCGACCGAACCTGGTACATACTGCCTAGCTTTTTGGTCTTCAGTTGAGATCGGAAAGACTATACCAGTCACTACGAAGAGGTACATTTTTATTGAGAAAGGTTTTGCACACCATAGGCTTCAGGTGTGATAAAACAAAGACCAAAAAACGACTATTAATGGAATGTCATTTCAACCAAGACGTAATTTTAATTTTTTTTAAAATGAAATAATACCGTGAAGAAGGTAGAGCAATTGTTTATATGGATGAGACGTAGATTTATTTTTCGCACATCCATAGAAATGCTTGGTGTGATGAAAGCAATTTTGAAGACATGTATCGAAAGGACAACGTTTAGTTCATGCTGGTTGGGAAAATACTTTACACCAAACGCGAAACTAATTTTTATGTCAAAAACTAAGTCAGGAGTCTATCATGATCACATGAACTACCAAAATTATTTACAAACAAAACATACCAATTGTGTTAGTTCGTAGAAACTGAATAAGACGGACTCAAATGTGTTTACACGTTGGTGGATTTTGAACAATTGTTGTAAAATCGGGTATGTCAAATGATTTTATTATTTAAAAACACAAATTAATTGTATTAATTAATAAAGGTAAAAGCAGTTGAATTTGCCGATATAAAATAGGTGCGATAAAATTCTATTTACATATTTCTTTCCTTGCGAAAGTTTTTGTCCGTTTTTATCACACCGCCATACCGGTCGCATTGTGCGAGGTCAGGTTTTACAGTGGACCAGTTTCCAGTGCCGTGCAGAAGTGCATTTTTAAATCATTTTCGAACTGCTCTTTTTGATTTTTTCTTTACAAAATTGTATTTGTAAAGGTCCCCTGTACATCCAGAATTTGTTTTTGGATAAGTTCTGAATCACCCTGTATAATATAAAAATAGCATAAGCGAAATTTTAGAATATATAATGTCTATCAAATGTAGAAATGTCATACTATTCTGAAACCACTACTATACAACCCATACTAGAATCCTATCGAACATGTTTAGGCGCCACTCAAGAAATATGTTGCTCGCATAACAACAATTTGAGATTTTTCTTATTATTTTGATATGTAGAATCCATTCCTGAAGTTTGGTGCGACTCTCCAGACTCTCCTTATCGTCCTTAAATAGGATCAAGTACAGATAATCTGCATTAAAAGAGGTGTAAATGAAGTTAAATATAGGTACTTCGCCCATATATTTAAACCCCAAGTAACAATTTTGCAGAGAAGGTACCTGTCTTACTATTAAAGTCTCCTGTCTTTGTCACACTTACTGCGTAGGTATTCTCTTCTTGATCTGCACATCCAGCAGACAAGATAAGTTTGGCCGAGTTATACACTATTTCCTTTGTACGACTTCTCATTTCATTACTAAGTAGTGCCCTACTGACCCAGTTAACTTAAAACTGTTACCTGTGTTAACGGCACTCATTAGAAAATTTGAGAAAACACTTTACAATACTTTTGCATAAGTTCAAAGTAAGTTAGAGTAAATAGAAACATTGTACAAGTTTCTTTGCTGAACATTTCCCAAGTCGTTATTGAGTATTCAGTTCGTTTGAAGTCGGAAAGTATATGTATAACTTATCAGGATTCAGCAATAAATTTTCTTTTTATATGTGGATAATCAATTTTCTTTCTACCTTGAGACTAAAATTAATTTATGCGATAATGAAATTAAATGCCAATTAGCAGGGGCGTAACAGCGACTTTTAAAGGAAATGAGAGGTATTTTCTAATATTTCTGTGTCTAAATTTATCCATATACCTAAATATAGTTCAAAAAAATATTTAATTATAGTACCCAAACAAAACACAAACAATAATGTACATATTATATTTCTAGATAATGTTTGCTACAATTTATATATTTTTTTTATTTCAGGGAAAGGAAAGCACCAAAATTCATCATCGAATCTAATACTCACCTGTACCTTACGAAAAAGTAAGTCCGAATCTAGTTCCTTTTATTTATTGTCAGAAATCGGAAATGTTAGGGCGGTTGCAATGTCTAATTATTATATACCTTAAAAAAATAGACAAGGTATGAAAGAAAAATTAAGTGAGACGGTAGATCCATTGTTTACTTTATTTTTAACCTTTTTTGGTTAAATTATTTGAGGACTAATACAACAGTAGCTACACCAAACTGTTCGTAAAACTACCTATATCTTATTAGTCCCGTGAGTCTTACAATACAACTAGAAACAGTATAATTATTATACTGCTTTCAATATATGTCTGCGGTATATAAAACTACACAAATTTAACTCCATTAAATTAAACGTTTCTTTACCGATATATTGTCAATTTTCCTTAAATACAAATGTGAAGTTGCACTCGCAATATTTAAGCTAGATATTTATTATTGGAATTTAATTCTGATCCATTGGAGCCATTTTTTATTATGGAAATTCTTTTTTGGTTATATGAATTTTAATTTTATTAATTAAGAAAGGCTTGATGAATAAAACATTTATCATTTAAATGACCACTTAGAGATGAATATTCTTGTATACTGTCCCACTTTCAGTCTTATTTGAATTTAAATATAATTTTAAAATTCCTTATTAACTATGCAGGGAAAGTAATTGTAATTTTAGGATCCGTTTTTGTAGTAGATGGAGTATATTGATTTCTCATCTAGGTACTGGGTAATAGTAGCTTTTTAAATAATTAATTCGAAAAAATTAAACCAGCCTTATTAATTTAATTATTGTAGCAACAAAATTGGAGTTTTACAAATAGTTTCGTTTAACAATCAAAATAACTTTCCATAGATTTACAAATTATCCCTATGATTATGTCCCTGCAGTTTCATGGACTTTCACAGATATAATGAGCAAACTAATGTGTTCAATGAGGGTGCAATACGCAGATGTATGGCAATTAATTTGAAACTAATGCATATTAAACGATAATAAATTAATTACTCCACGGTGAGCCAGTTCGGCTGAAACCTCAATAATTTTAATCACAATTATTTCACGGCTTATTCTACTCAATACCGATTACTTGTACCTGCAATGTAGTATAAAATTATAATAATTATTATTATAAGACACCAATTGAATACAAAACATTCATGACAGACAAAAAATGGTAATGGAAGAAGTTAAGTATTCAAATAAAAGTTATGATGAACTAACAGAATATAATGAATTATTTATTTCTTTATCGTTGTTTGCCTGTTTGTTTTTTTCATCATTAATTCGTTAATTCCGTAATTCATTAATTCATTAATTCGTTAATTCACTAACGAATTAATTCATTAATTCGTTAATTCATTAATTCATTAATTCATTAATAATTAATAAGAAGACTACATTTCTCGTAGATTTGTCATCATTGGATTTGGTTTCTATGTTAATGCTCTAGACATGAAGAATGCATGCATACCCGTATATGCTTTTAAGTCCAATGTATTTAATTTCTTCCGCTTCTTCAACAGAAGAAAGTTTGGTTAATAATGTTGTTGCCATTAATAATAATATTAAATAATTTTTTTTATTACTTCATAGAGTATATTACGCACTTACGCACTCTTTTATCTACATTTACTATGACTGTTTTGCATAAATCCGGCTGGGTTTTGTTGATGTGTGTTTTAAAATACAGGGTAGCCCATCGAAAACGTACCGCAAGGCATTACAGGGTAGTAATGAACTTTTCGGCAAAATCCAAAAACAGGTAAAGTTTGCTTCTGAGGGGACAACTTTTGGCGCAAAAAGTATAGCAAAATCTTCAACCCCCTAAGTGGGGGTGCCACCCCCAAATTTTTTTAAATGGGAATGGGGTCAAGTGGGGAGTCATTAGAAAGGGTTTTTAATTCTCTATACATCGATTCTTACTTTTTGAAAATCGATCCATTATTTTAGAAAATATGCAGCTTTGAAAATACGAACAATATATTTGACGAAAAATGCGAAAATCGATTTAATTTTACTTCAAAACTTACGGTATTAGCTTGGTAAATTCCTTCAAAAGAATTCGCTGTTTTTTTTTCTGATTTGCGAATTCTTTAGCCTGATTTTGGTGAGCAAAAAATTGTCCGCTTTTTGTTTCGTATTTAGATAGGCCACAAGAAGTTGCTAGATAACTGTCTTGTGACTTGTAGTTGAAGAGTACCAATACTGCCGAGTCTTTTAAATTGATTAATTATGGTGTACTCAATTCCAGAAAGAGTAGAAATTATTGAGCTTTTTTTCAAAAACAATGAATGCGGAAATCGGGTCGCCGAACTGTTCAACCAACGGCATCCTGAGAAACATGCGTCTGGAAAAATTGTTCGCGAATTGGTGGCCAAATTTCGCGAAACTGGCTCCGTTCATAACAAAAAGAGGCAGGTTGAAAATCCGGTACTAAATGAACCTACGGAAATAGCGGTATTGGGGCAAGTGGCAATGGATAGTACGCTGAGTACAATGCAATTGGCTACTGCGACAGGAGTGAGTCGTACAAGTGTCCAACGAATATTAAAAAAATACAAATTCCATCCTTATAAGATTCGGCTAGTGCAAGAGCTAAATGAAGACGATTTTGATCGTCGTTTGCAATTTTGCGAAATAATGACTGAACGAGCGATAAACGATAATTTCCTCTTTAATGTGTGTTTTTCGGACGAGTGTACGTTCTTCTTGAATGGTTTAGTGAATCGCCATAATTGTCGTTACTGGGCTGATACCAATCCAAGGATTTTCCATGAGACACACTCCCAACACCCCCAGAAGTTGAATGTATGGGCAGGTATTTTTGGAAATTCCATTGTAGGTCCTTTTTTCCTTCCTGGAAATTTGACAGGCGATATGTACTTGGATTTACTACAAAATGTCATCGACCCAGCTCTAACAAATATCATAGAGGACGACCCTGCTTACAATGAACACGAACTGATTTTCCAGCAAGACGGAGCTCCTCCACATTACTCGCTCAATGTGCGCAATTACCTAAATGAGACGTTTCCAGGACGCTGGATAGGACGAAGAGGTGCAATTGAGTGGCCCCCTCGGTCACCCGACTTAAATCCTTTAGATTTCTTTCTCTGGGGGCACATTAAAAGCAAAGTTTACAGCACTCCACCTGATACCTTGGAAGATCTGCGAGGACGAATCATTAATGTATGTCGCGAAGTAACACCGCAAGTGCTCCAGAATGTTCGACAACGGTTTGAAGACAACCTGTATCATTGTATGCAAGTTGGCGGACAACATTTTCAGCATTTACTTGACTAATACCGTAAGTTTTGAAGTAAAATTAAATCGATTTTCGCATTTCTCGTCAAAAATATTGTTCGTATTTTCAAAGCTGCATATTTTCTAAAATAATGAATCGATTTTCAAAAAGTAAGAATCGATGTATAGAGAATTAAAAGCCCTTTCTAATGACCCCCCACTTGACCCCCATTCCCATTTGAAAAAATTTAGGGGATAGCACCCCCACTTAGGGGGTTGAAGATTTTGGTATGCTTTTTGAGCCAAAAGTTGTCCCCCTCAGAAACAAATTTGACCTGTTTTTGGATTTTGTTGAAAAGTTCTTTACTACACTGTAATGCCTTGCGGTACGTTTTCGATGGGCTACCCTGTATAATACATAAAATAGATTAGAAAAAGTGAAACTATATTTTTCTTACTCAGTGTTTCTTTTATCAACAACATTTTTTATATAATTTTTGTTAGAACGAAAACATAATCAATCACTCTTAGTTGTGAAAAATTCAAAACTTCAGTGAAATTAATACTAAGAGATTTTGTTTTTCTTTGTAGTAGAGTGGTATGTAGGAATTTGGGTAGTAGCATTGTGTTGGTAACAGTAGATACCAACTGCGTAAGCGCAGAGATTTACTGTATACAAAGAATGTTTTAAAAGAAATTATCAGAGTTATCCTTGTTTCCGTCTCATTTACCGCGTTTCCTGCTCTTTCCAGAAGATCTCCACGTTCAGCTAGAAGAAGACGAACGAGAATCCTTCGTCCTTTCCACCAGCTCGAGCCAGGCTGGCGAGGTAGACCCAGACTCTTACACCGCAGACGACAATAGAGAGACCTGGGGTTCGAATACGGATTTTTTACTATCGATCATCGGGTTCGCGGTTGACTTGGCTAATGTTTGGCGATTTCCTTATCTCTGCTATAGAAATGGAGGAGGTGAGGCAGTAATTAATACTTTTATTACTTCTCCTTCGATTGAAAACGTCTCAACTCGACTGTGGAACGATAAAGGACAATAAGAATATTTTTACGTTCTAGGTGCCTTTTTAGTGCCCTATACTTTGATGCTGGTGTTCGGCGCAGTTCCTTTATTCTACATGGAACTCATTCTGGGTCAGTTTAATAGGCAGGGGCCTATCAGTCTGTGGCGAATATGCCCACTTTTCAAAGGTAAAAAGACCCCGTACTTAATAAAACAGTAACAATTAATACTTACATGAACCTATATCGGAAAAAATGGTAAAAACCGAGTTTTGTAAAATTTTATTGGGATTTTAAAGAAATATATAAAAGACAATTGACTTTCGCATTTCGAAGATATAAACCAAATTTTTGTTTTTTTTTTTTAATTAAAAATTAAACTACAGCTTCCTGATGATATTTGCAATAGAAAAGTCTTACACGCAAAAGTTCTATCTTCGCGTTTTTTTTTTGTTGTAAACTAAAATTCATTTATTCAATGAACCGACCGACCCTGTGTTATTTATTAAAAACTTTGAAAATGTTTTTATGCGACCCGAGATTCAACCTTATTATTTAAGTCGGTTTAATTTAATACAAGTAATACTAAAAGATTAGGTTATACTGTCAAAAAAATTGTGCAGTCAACTGATTTTTAATTTGTATTGAATTCATTATTCTCTTAATTATTAAACATTAAGCATCGTCCATAGACCCATCACTGTTAAAAAGTGAATGATTCCAGACAAAAGTTTTTATTCTGTAATTCCACGATAGTGACAGTGTAATTTTTATAAAGAAGTAAAAAATAAGAATAGCGTGTCGATTACATTAAAAACGAGATTCTTATTTCTTACGTTGCTTAAATTTTAGATTGTGCACAAACTAGTTTTACAAGAAACCGAGAAAACAATGCATTTACTATTTACGAACGTGTCGATATGGTATTAGTGTATGGTGCAGCCGGAGAAAATGCGCTCGCGGCGACTAGGTTGTATCGAGAACGACGGCCACAACGTCGCTCCCCCTGGTGCAAATTCAATCCTATAGTGTGTTCAGCGGCTGCGAGATACGGGAAGTGTTATTCCTCGAGGAGAAGGATCTGGTCAGCAAGTGAAGCTTAATGTTGAAGATGTAGTGTTAGAAAATCTTGACGAAGACCCCACAATTAGTACTCGACGACTCGCACAGCAAGTAGGAATCTCATCTCGTACCGTATATCGCATCTTAAGGCGCCAGCTGTTGCACCCCTATCATCTGCAACCAGTTCAACAGATTTTACCCCCGGATTGTTATCAACGAATGTGTTTTTGCAGATGGTTTTTACGGCAATGTGCTAATCAAGTAGACTTTGTTGCTTATGTTTGTGTATAAGATGACGCGACATTTACCCGTGATTAAGTGAATTTCCATAATATGAACATATGGGCCGATGAAAATCCTTACGCGATTAGGGAAACTCATTTTCAACATTGGTTCTCGGTAAATGTTTGGGCTGGCATAATAGGCGATGTACTTGTGGGTCCCTATTTCTTTGAATGACGACTAAATGGACAAACATATGCTGACTTTTTGGAGACCCGGTTGCCTGAATTATTGGACGATGTGGCGTTACAAGTTCGGCACGAACGTTTTATCTTCAAGATGTGGCTCCTCCACACAGGACTCGAGAAGTAACGACACTTTTGAATGAAATGATTCCTCAGCGATGGATTGGACGCTTTGGTCCTGTGCCGTGGCCACCTCGATCACCCGATCTAACTCCAATGGACTTTTATCTTTGGAATCACTTGAAGTTATTGGTTTACAATACTCCAATTGCTACGGCGGAAGAATTTCGAAACCGTATACTTGAAGCTGCTAACACAATTAGGGGAATACCTGGAATTTGGGAAAATATTCACCAAAATTGGGTGTGTCGGTGCCATGCCCGTATCCGCGCTAATGGGGATCAATTTCAACATTTTCTCTAGAAATGGTTAGTTTTATTCCATTTTGTTCCATATTTTAATAGAGTTTGTTTAGTGCACGCAATTGGCAACTACAGATGCTTGTTTTGTTTGCCAACTCTTGCAGTAACAACAATGCATTTAAGATAGTAATTACTATTAACTGTTATTATAATAAGAAAATATCAGTTTTTTTTTAAATATCAATTTTTCTTAGTTTGTACTTGTCCATTGAAAAATTTCCTAAAAATTGAGAAGTATTCTTTCTATCCTTCAACGAGCATTTGTTTACGCGGCTGTTCTACAGTACGTAACTCATCGTATAGCACACGGACGGGACCATTCCAGAGAAAATATTTTGATCCATAATTGAACTTCAATTTACGCAAAAAAAACGCAAAACTAGGACTTTTTCGTGTAAGACTTTTCTGTTACAAATATCGTTAGGAAGCTGTAGTTTTAATTTTTGTAGATTATACACGCCACACCCTGTATATGTAATTTTTTGGATCCTCTCATCCTTCTTTCTAGTTACAATGATATACAATATCATATATGCTTTGATAGTTTGCACAATATTTTGTTTTATTCACTGATCCTGCACATAGTCAAGACCGCAATAGAATCACTAAGTAGATACGTTTTATTTTCTTCATCTTTTATTAATAATTTTTTTTTCAAATAAATAAATTTGACGAAAATAGTTTGTCTTTTCCTAACCTCATAAAAAGGTCCTAATAGCCGTTCCCATTACAAGTCACTCGTAAATTCGAAAATATCTGCTACGCAAACACATTATATAGGTGTAGGTATAATAAACATATATTTTTAGGTGTTGGATTCTGTGCTGTCTTGGTAGCATTCTATGTGTCATTTTATTACAACGTCATCCTCGGTAAGTGACTTAGCAACAAAATATATCAGGCAAAAATTTACTAACTTTTTACAATGAAGTAGGTACTCAAATATTTTACAGAATTCTTCTTCGGAAGAATTACAAACAGTATGTCCTTTTTTAGCTTGGGCTTTGTATTTCTTGGCATCCAGCATATCTGCAGAACTACCCTGGATGCATTGTAACAACACATGGAATACTGAAAAATGTTGGGAAAGCATGGGAAGCAACGGGTCTTCACTACGATTAAACATTTTTGATAATGAAAGCTTACATAACAGCAAGAACACACCTGCTTCTGAATTTTTCAAGTAAGAAATCTACTTATATTCATTCAACCAGACCACGATAGTATTGGTTGTGGTTCTTATATTGTACATTGTTTTGAACTAGATCAATGCGTTAGGATTTCTTCACAAACTTCTGTCCTTGGTCACAGAAAACATAGTTAGGAGGAACAAGAATTTGCTTTTGAACAAATTGACTAATATAGCATGCGTGATCATTGTATCTTATAATATTTTCTCTTTATAGTCGAGCAGTCCTAGAAATGCAGTGGAGCAATGGTTTGCACGAAATGGGATATCCAAAATGGCAACTCGTGGTATGCCTTCTAATTATATACTCTTTGCTGTATATTTCACTATTTAAAGGTGTAAAATCTTCAGGTAATACTAACTATTCGTTTCTAAATGCAGTATGATGTGCAAATTATGTATTTATAGGAAAAGTTGTGTGGGTTACCGCTACCATGCCCTACGTAGTACTTACCATACTTTTAATCAGAGGCTTGATGTTACCCGGTGCGATATCGGGGATATCTTACTATCTTAAGCCGGAACTATCCAAACTAAGAGAGACTCAGGTAAATATAACAACATTTTGATGATGCTCGTAACTGTGTAGTATAACAACCCAGTGTTCGGTCAAAAAAAAAATGAACAAACAAACGTAGTTGTGGCCAAAAATATGTGATCGTCATAAGGAATACCTACGTTGTATGTATCTATTTTTAATTGACCGGAAGGCGCTGGCTACTAACTTTCTTTGAGGGGATGTATGGTTTAATTTTATAAAACAAAAGCAGAGTAAATACACCTAACTTTATTATTTACGTACAACAGTATTCAAATCAAACATGTGACAAATAGAAGGAACAAAAACATTAACAACCATTTAACATAGAATGAGAGTGCCAGGCTCACCTAGAGCTCCTGTGGGGAAAGAGCATGGCAGAGAAACGATCCCACTACCCAAATATAAATACAAAACAACCGTTAACCAAAGGCATAAATTAAGATCCTTTGCTAATGATAATTTGGACTTGTCCCATTTAATGCGTCACTAAATGTCATCTCACTCATATTAGACATTCACACTTCCAAGTAAAACTGAAGAGGTTTGGTGTTAGTTAGCCGGCAGGGCCGGAAGGTAATAATAACAACAATAGTAACGACAATAGTAGCAATAATAATAATAGGTAAGGTACTGGAGTCCCATACGGGAGGCAATCCAGCTATAGTTGAGATTTCGGAGGAAAAACAACAATAATAATAATAGGTAAGGTACTGGAGTCCCATACGGGAGGCAATCCAGAGCAATTCTTTTTTTTGTATTCAATTATTCTTTTTACAGATTCATTCCTCATGGGCGAAAATGTTAGTAAATTCAACAAAGCTCTTACATGCGTATGACATAAAGTGAGCACAAGAAATCAAAGAACAACGTAATCATGATAAAACAAGTTAAATGTGAAACAAAGAAGTTGTTATTGCAATATCTGGGCAGCCACGACAATATATACATTTTTAAACATGTAATAAATAATGAGCAATCGTTAATAATAATTGTAATATTCTCACCTCAACTGCCTATCTTCAACTATCTAGGTTTCCTTCCAGAATTCCCTACCTAAGCGCTTGTTTTTTGTGCTTCCTTCCACCGACCGTTAATATTACTTTTTCATTATTGTGCAACACTCATGTAACAGGTGACGTTGAAGTTGATAAGATAAGTACGGTTTTGCACAACTGAACTCTCCAACTACCAAATTTTCAAAAAATAGTGTGAAATTCTTTATCGTAATAAAATGCTTATTTACGACTTTAGGAACCAAATACATATCTGTAATCATTCCCCAGAGCCAAAGTATTTCTTATCCAGCTGAGGGAATCTGTCCCAGCAATGGTTCGGGAGGAATTTGAACATTCTATATGTTAATTAAAATTGTTTTCTAGGTCTGGGTGGACGCAGCTGTACAAATATTCTACTCAGTCGGCGCGGGATTCGGAGTACATCTCTCATACGCTAGTTATAACACATTCCACAACAACTGCTACAGGTAATTTAAATACTTAAAACTCTCGTTCCGCCTGAAGAACCCCCTTTTAACAAATCGCAACGCTTCAATCGGCGGATAAGTCTGTTATGAAAATTCGTTCATCGTATTTTCAGTTTGTAGGTCGGCATGCATTTCCACGGATTTCACGTTTATCTCTGGGGATATACGTTTTGGTTTCGGTAAACACTGCCATATTTAGGGAATAAATGTAGTTAATATACGAATTCTACAGAGTGTCAACAAATTTGTAGAGAGTATTTGAAGAATAAATAATTAAGAAAGAATTTTTGAAAATAGAATAATTTTTTAATTTTTTAATTACCCAAAATTTTCCACGCAGGCACGTTGGTTTTTAAGGCGTTTTAATCAACGGCTGCGTCGTAATTGTGTAGGCTACTTATTTTCCGTGTATATAAAGTTTTCAGTGAATGAGACCGATTTCTTGGTATACTTTAAAAATGTTCAAATTCAAGTAAAGTCAGTGTAACATAATAATATAATTTTTTTGCAATTAAGAACAACCATTGATTTTTAAAAAGTGTATCTACAAAAGTTGTTGGATTAGGTTGCAACTGATAAAGGAGATGATAATTTTGACATCATTCATCAAATCGTAAAATTTGTACTGGTTCTGAACACAAAAGAACCCGCTCATAATGTAAAGTATGCCTCTGAAAGTTAGAACTGCATCTTTATTGTGACAGTAAATGTTTAATGCTTTGTATGTCATTNTTTATTTTTATATCGGTACCTGTATCCTGAGGCTGGAAAAGCGACAATTTCTTCATTCAACTGCGCTGCAAAGTAATAAGAGGTCAAAAGTTCATTTGGGGATCAAATCAAGAGTTAACCCTGGAATAGTAACGAAATGACCTCGTAAAATTAAACGGTCCACAAATAGTCATATTTTTAATTTTTGCAATCTCGTGGTGTACATCGGGTCATGCTAATACCGAAGGTGAAAACTGAAAAAAACATTCAAATATTTAACACCACTATTAGTGGACTATTGAGATCGTTTTGATAGTATTCCAGAGTTAACTCTTGATTTAGTTTTTAAATTAACTTTTAATTTGATTACGTTGCAATGTACTCAGGTGTAGAATTTACCGGTTTTTCAGCATCTGGTATCAAGAATACAGGTTCCGACATAAGTGAAAGTCAATCTCCAAATTACATTCAAGGTCACCGATTTATGGTCTCGAACATTCTTAACAACATTTGTAGAGGTCATCAAGGTCAATGTCTGTAGTCGACCTTCAAATGACCTTGAAGGTAGAGGTCAAGATCAAATTCAAAGTCATGATTGAGTAACTTGATAGAAATCCCATCTTACATGTTATTCCGAGGTTGCTTCAGGGTGACGAACCATTTGAACTAGCTATAACCTTGCCCGGTACCGCAAGGTCAAAGTTGAGATCACATCCGGATGTAAAATTTTTTGCCGAATCCATTGCCAGGGTAAAAGATAAAGGGTCCAATTTAAAATTATGAACTTGACATTCAATTGAACTTCAAAGTCACGGGTAAGGTCAAATCAAGGTTAGCAACCGTTTTCCCCCAATAAACTGAACAACCATCATATGCGTCATTTTTGGATCGAATTCTTCACTGACGAGATATTCACGTGTATCAATCAAAATGGGGCACGTGGTATAGAAATATAACTAGAAATTCATTGATAAAATCTATTGGAATCTTGTACATACGTTTCAAATAAAGCTTTTTTTGCCAGGAAATAGCTTAAAACCTGTTTATGTACTGAATTGTATAGTAACCTATATAGGTGCGCCTGAAATATTTTTCTTTTTAAAATTTTTTTTATTTAAAATTTATGAGCTTATTTATCATGCAAGAGGTATTGTTAAAAATCCATACATTCTCGTTTGTCTAAGCTTGTTAAAAACACTTTTTATAACTGTTTAAGACAAGTAATTGTTTCACTTGAATAAACATATTAATAGTAAATAAATAAGCTTATTGGCTTCGATAACTGGCTGTTATAGATTATTTTAGGTTTAGAAATATTGTTTGCCTTTTTTTAATCACTAAAATAGTAACCAATAATGAACTGAGGTTTTCTAAAGGAATTATTGTAGATATATGTATTTACAATCAGGTTGTATTAACGTATACTTTACTCGCTAAATTTAGGTCATTTATGAAAAATATTTTACTTAATTATATATTTTTTAAATCTCTTTACTATTATTTCTTTTATCAAGATTGAATTTAAATCAAAAGGCAAAAAGCCGTGATCAATTTAAATTTGCCAGTTCTTGTATACAGGGTGTGCCATTTAACACTCCCGCTGCCAATATCTCCGAAATGAATAAATTTATTTAGTTCCGGAAACTGGGATTGTTAGGTCCCTCGAATAGCTTCAAATTGCAGTTCAAATCTTTTCATATAGATAGCGTGGCGATACTAAAAAATTTTTTGATTCCTGGATCATGGAAATATGGTCCATCTGAAAGATCGTTAAATTTTGAGTAATTTTTGTAATATAAAGTTTTTCCTAATATTTACTTGTTTTCGAGACATATCGACTTCAATATGCAATATGCAATGCAAGGTCGGCAACCTATGACCCGCGGGTCACCGAGTGACCCATTTACTAATTTCAAGTGACCCACTTTATTTCCTAAAAAAGTATAATATATAAAAATAAATTATAAAATAAACATGAAACGAATATTTTGAGAATAAAAAAAAATTGAAAATAGATGCTTTGTTTTTGCGCGCACGTCAATCTTGAAATATCCTCTTTTTTGCTTTTTGTTTGTTCATGGCAATATATTTTTTTAAATAATAATAATTATTTCACTTAGGTAACTGCTAAATAATTATTT